TTCATCTATAATCAGTCACTGGTGACCTGCCAGTGTATACCGATAGCGTAGGCCGGGATTACCATTCCATCATTATTCATAAAATTCCCTTACTATACATTGGAAAACGTTCATTTCGATTTGTAAAATGTTACATAAAAATAGCTTTTACTCGACTCTTTTTGAGATAAGGTCACGTAGAGAGGTTTAACCCCTCTTAAGACTTTTACGTAAATATCGAATGACCCCTAATAGAACTGCATGTAAAGGCCTAGGCAGCCAACAGAAACTCTTTTTGTAAACAGTGTATTTACACAGGATGTATGTTTTGTAACACGACATTTTAGGGATTTTGTTATAAGCAGACTAAAATGTACCTACACCAAGAATTCTCGAACATAAAAATCTGACTGTATCCATATAGTTCTGGCTAGACGAGAGAAATTCAAAGTACTCGTATAAAGGAACGCATATTTGCGTACTAAATGCCGCTCGTCTGCATGCTTTCTAATATTATAAATATGAACATAAATCTGTTTATTTATATCTTACATCTTAGCGCTTTACGTTAATGACCTATCACTATGACTGAAATTTAGTACACACATACTATATAGGATGGACATAGGATACCTTTTTACCGCGATCACACGGACAAACTGTAGTAAAGGGGGGAAGGGATCGTTAGTAATGCGGGCTACCAGTCCCATTGCTAGCAAAATACCCTGTCAGGTCGACGTCCACGCGGTTCCCCCTGAAAACCATCGTGCTGAGTTCTAGGTGTATTCATCACGATGGGCTGACTGACCTGCTTTATTTATTATTCACCTATCATCATGGTGCTCCGCCAGCGTATACCGTTAGTGCAGGCGGGGTTACCATTCCATTAATCATGCATTAAAAAAAACTGTAGTAAAGGATCTATCTACTAAAACCATAAAAGATTCTGTCTTTAGCGAATAGAAAACAATTCCAAATCTAAAAGTAGTGAGTATCTACCTATTTACAAAAATACCCAGTTTCTTTAACAAACAACTGAAAGTACAAAGTATTATAAAGAACAAATCCTTTATAATATAAACTTTTGGTTTCGTGAACAATTTTATAATAAAAGTCAAAAATTGTTTTCATGTTTGACCTTTGATATCAGGAGAAAAGTTTCAGGATATTATATAGATATCCAAATTTTATAAATTGCTAATCGATTTTTTTTTTTATTATTATTTTCCTATAATTAAGTGAGTAAGAATAATGTCAGTGTATACGAATAGGTATATTTAGAAATACTAGAAATTTATTAACTCTGTTTCTGTTGAATGATGCGATAAATTCCTTGTTTACTAATTACTATGTAAAGTATTTTTTTTTATAAGTACGACACAAAATTTCAAAATAGCATTATATATATGTATAAATAAGTATCATAAAAGTTCTACGAAGAAAAAACTACAAACGAACATTCCATATGAACTTTTTTAATAAATTCGCGATTATTGTATTACATATAATACAATATCGCGAAATAATCGGCTAATACAATTTGGAACACGGGCAGGTTATATCCTAACTTAGCATATTGTATATTTTTATAATCCGATTCATGTGGGTGAAGCCACGGGATCTAGCATATAAGCTTTTAAGATTAAGACGCAGAGGTCAGTAAAATTAGGGTCCTATTTATAACTTAATCGCTCATGAGAGGCAGCAATTTGCCTTTAACGTTACACTCGTCCTTTATAATAATATTGAGCTTATATTCAAAATATGTATTATGATGAAATAGTAAGCTTATGTGATTATAACAAAATGTGTCATATGTCGTCAGATAGGTATAACAAAAAATTCTAAAATTTACCGTGTAGAAATATTTGTAGATAGGTTATTAATATGAATACGAATAATAGGACGTATGAAAATGGAAGAATGTAACATTTTTTTAGGTTACCATTAAAAATCAAATGCTATTATGAACTCAGAATGGACAGATAGTTTTCTTTTTAAATCGTTAGGACACCTACTTACCCACTAGTTCACTAAAAATGAGCAAATTAGTTTTTTATGGTCACAAAAACACCAATATTAACTAATCGAATGGCGGGAAAATAAAAAATATAAAATTTAAATTTGGAATAAAGTATATAAAGTAAAACGAATTCTTCACACTAGCCAATATTAAAAATTGATAATTTCATAGTAAAATCTAAGCTTACATGAATTAACTTCGCTCGTGTTCGTGTCTATATTTCTGTTAGCCGTGTAGGTCCCGGCATAGAATAGACCACCACTTCCTTTACCGTGGGTGTCGTAAAAGGCGACTAAGGGAGCTTATGGTCGAGGAATGAGCAGCAGCGTCCCTCTTAAAACACCACCAAAAGCCCAACTGCGGTTGCCAACTTGCCTACCAAGAGTGGAAACTACTGGCAAACCCCCATTATGGAGGAGGCTATGTTCAGCAGTGGACAGTTAATGACTGATCCAAAAAAAATGTAATTGTCCATAATTCATAACGACTTCAAAGAGCAAAAAATAATTTGTACTTACATATTTGTCCTCTATAAATCCAACGAAAAAGTTAATAAATTATAATTTAACTTTCAACTGCGCATTTGATACAAAGTAGATAACAAATTCTCAGGAATCCAAAACGCACCTAAAATTCCAAAGAATAACTGGAGCATTAAATTCTCTTCCAAAAAGTTTCGCTTAATTATAAGTTAGTAGGCACCCGACTGCCATTTAAGTGGCGTACAAGGGCAAATCGGAAGCTTGATTTAGCTTTATTATAAAAAGTTTATAATTTCAAACTTTTCTACACGCCTTGATAAATAAAAGATAACACAAAAATAAAATTGTAATATAATAAGTAAATAATAGTATTATATGTGTTATTTTAGAATTTTCAATTTATTTCGTCAACTGTTACTCTTAGAAAAGTTTAGTTCATATAACAACGATATAGTTAACATCTCTGAATACACACATCTGGAGTGGCCCTGTAAATAATTATTTAATTTTTAATATAATTGAAGGGTACCAAAGGTTTCCCAGGTAATCTGTAATCTTCGATAATATAGATGAAACATTCGAATAGGTTAAAATTTTGTTAGCTAGAAGGATTGTCAACTTGTTTACCATTCTAAGTTGCATAAATAAAAAGAAAAAGCAATCGTTGAACTAAGACTGCGCATTTAACTCGAAATGTTGATTTTATATTTAACACGAAAGCAATAAACGGGAAAGATATTACAAACGACCTCGTATCTAACATAAACGTGTATAAGTACCAACGCTGTCGCAGCTAGCATCCGTGGACAATTTAATTTTCCTAATAAATCTTCACAGCAAAATCCCGGGAAAAATAATTGCGCTCCGTCGTATACCGTAAATTCAGAGATAATCAGATTATAATATTAAACATAGAAAACGGAAGATTTGCTATCTTTAATTTACACGGTCACAAATTGCTATCTTTAATTTACACGGTCACAAAGATAAACTAAGTTACTTGTTGATTGAGAACATTATGTTTCGTGATTCTTTTACGCCTATAACTATAAAAAATTCTTCAACTTTACAATTTTTTATTCATATTTTTTAGTCTATGTCGACTAATAAGATGAAATAAAAATTCTTGATATCAGAGAGTACAAGATTTAGTTAAATTTAAACTTTCGCGTTGTTTACATATGTTTTAAATACACAATCGGGACTTAGCACGATGTGAAAGCTTTTACAGGTAAATAGTACCTACATACAGAACTGTCCTGTCGTGGTCACGACGCGGTGCAATCCACGTCGAAACGTCGGCAATAAAGAAGCAAGTATGTAGGTACTATTTACCTGTAAAAGCTTTTACATCGCGTTAAGTCTCGATTGTGTATTTAAAATATAATACAGGATTTGTACGATTAATAAGGTTAATAACCGGATAAATGGTTAGTAAGGTAAGTCCAACTATAAGATTGGATGGAGACATAGAGCCCTTGATTCTGTTATTTTACGAGTATTGTAAAATAACAGATTCATTCTAATGTGAAAACTTTAAAAGTTAAATTTAGACTAGAGTCTATATGGCAGCAGTTCTTACAAAAGTATTACTAAGCTGCATTTGTTTGTTACTTCTTCTTACTTACTATTAAGTTTGATAACATATAGATAAAGCATCGAGTATCAAAAACGTGTCAAAATTTGTCTTTTAGCTAACTAATTTGTTTTTTTTTTAAATGAAAATAAAATGCATCTTTTTTCAGTGTCGCAAATAATTGCTTTAAAAATTACCCAGATCAGATCGATTTTTTTAAATTAAACTATGAACTACTTTTTCTAATGAAATACAAACTTAATAACATACATATGTGTGTCTTGTTTATGAATAAATAAATTAAAATAGCAATAAATAATATACGGGCCATTTTCAATGATTTAAAAACGAAAAAATATTTTATGTCTGTACACAGATATAAATCAAAGTATTCAGTAAAGATAAGCATCATTACGCACCATTATGCACGATTTATCTTGTTCTTTCAAATATATACGAAAGAATTTTCTATCGTTTTTATTTTTCAGTTTAACCTTACAAATTTCTTAAAAAAATATTTAGTATTAACGATACATACGAGTACTAGTAACCTAATTTGCGGATTCTTGGAAAAAAAAATTACCTGTTCCTGATAAAACATTTATATGGAAACACTCTACCTACATAATCTAAGGATAAAGACATATAAACGAAGTCTCAAATCCAAGCTATAAATATCGTAATAATATATCGTATAAAAAAGTATTTGAATATATACAAATGGTCAATATGTAACACACACATTAATAACAATTTAACTTAAATAACTTATAAATAACAATTTAATAAATAGCAATTTAGTTAGAAAATATTAGGCGAGAAGTCTAAGAAGAGTCCTATGAGAAAACTGTTATAAATAAAAATAATTAAATCATGTAAATTGATGAATTTAATATAAAAAAATTTAATTTATTAGTTTATTTCTCGTTTTCCGTCTTACTTGGACTGTGGAGGTGATTGTGAAAGTAGAGATCCAGACCCTCTTTTGCTAAGAGGCGGTCGTGGTGCCGAGGGTCGCCTCTCTACGCCTGATGCGGAACGCGTCGCTGGTGCTCCTTCAGCAGCCAAGACCCGTGCCGAAACCAACGCTGCTTCTGGACAATGCTGGAAACATATTTCACAATTAATCTTTGTTAATTTTTTTGTGAATGTGAGAGAGAGTGTTTATACAGAATGTGCATATACAAAGGACGGCCTTATCTAATTCTTCTACTTTTATCTATTGAGAATATCGAACCAGCAGTCGGTCTATTATATTACGAGTATTATATGTATTATATCATAATTTTACCACAAACTTTATACAAAAGTGATACGCTTGTATATAGTAATAAAATAACACGATATAGTGGCATAATATCAAAATTTGTTATGTAAAGAAATACCTATATATAGGTAAGATCAAATTATTTATTTATTGTATAGGTGGATTATGACTAACCTGAATAGTAACTAATAAAATTAAGGGTAATATTCTTAATAGTACATGTCTACATTTGAAAATAAAGTGAAAGTACCAACTGTTGGATTACTTTCGCCACTAAATTTGAATATTTATGAAATAGTATTAAAATTAAAATAACCATTTAGGTAAACAGGCATCTTATAAATGAAATTATATAATCGTAATGTAGAAATATCTGCAAAATTCAAATAACCAAATAAATTATCTACTTAAAATTTGAATTGAAATCATTCACTTGTATTTAGATATTGAACAAAATTATTTGCTGTCACTTTGAGAATACATTACGTTTTTACATATTTAATGGAATTTAGCCAACACACGAGTGTATTTTTGAATATGAATATAGTCTGAAAAATAGTAAGATTTCAAGCTTAAGATAACAAAAAAGACTTATCTGTAAAGACAGCAAATAAACTTAAGTGGGATTTATGGGTTAATATGAAATAGACAGTTTGTAACATAACATTGTTAGAAGAAAGTTTTATTTACAATAAACTATCAAGGGACGAAAAAGGTCTACGGCTTTTCATATCATAAACGGGGAAGAAAAAATGGTTACACTGACTTTTCCGTATCCATAGCTACGAGAAAATATCTTAGAAAATACTTTTACATTTCTATAGAGGTGTTTGTATTACAGATCGCTTAGTTCGTTAGTTGAACTCTCTCAATAGGTACAGATCTATGTAAGTAGTAATGTCTAATGTAACTATATATACTCGTAACTACATAGCTAATCCAACAAACGTCATTCCATTAAAAGCAAAGACATCAGTATTTTAATTAGTAGCTAGGAATAGTTTACATGAGAAAAAGTTTTCTTATTTAGAGATAATAAATATTTTGTGAGTATTTTTTTCATTTTAAATAATTGAAACAAAAATCAGTAGAATTAGTTCAGCCGTTCTCGAATTTCTCGAATAATGTGATTAGCAACACATTTAGCGAATAACTTTTATTTATACAGAGAAATTATAAAATCGTCACCAGAGGGAGACTTTGTAAAAAAGTCGATTGCTTGGGTACCTCTGTCCTATTCGTGTTTCTACCGTGAAACAGTTGTGTCTGCATGGCTGTGTTTCGGCTTGAAGGGTGGGATATGGCGTGAATTTACTGGGTACAGAGGAATAACACCTGCGTGTGTAGAATTTTTGTCTTCACAGCAATCCTACACACATGCTTTTGCTTATCCCTCGATAAGCAGTCACAGTATCAGCCATTTTGATTATTAATGTTTGTTTGAAATGTTATCGTTATATACATTGATGATCTGAATGTTGACACCCGTCATCCAAAATTTAGTAATTAACCAGCTATTTTTAATAGATTATTTGAACTTAAAAACTATTCCGATTACATATGTTTCATATTAATTAAGCGTACTTACTACACGATTTTATCGTGTAATTTTACTACCATGGGGCGCATGTCAAAACGATATCGCAGACATGCATGGAAATTTAAAAGTATCTCCTTATTTTGCTCTCTCAATAAATCATAGCAATTAATGATAAATATTTAGAATGTGAACTTAACATTTCTTATCACATCATAATCTTCAAAAGCTCATTTTGAAATATAAATTTAATTTAATCAAATTTCAAAGGTAAAAATGAATCTTATTATATACATCTATTTTTCTAAAATGTACATACTCATACATACGTGTAAGATCAAATTCAATTCTTGTATGCGTATAATAGGATAACATAGTGTGACAGTGATAAAGGTCGAAATATCCTTGAAATATTCACAAAAAAGTATCTGATACAGGCGGTACAATAAAGCTGATCTCAATATTAATCTCACTACATATGCCTGTGGCATACATCTCTGTCCCATTCGTGTTTCAACCGTGAAGCAGTTGTGTTTGCATGGCTGTGTTTCGGTTTGAAGGGTGGGATATGGCGTGAATTTACTGGGTACAGAGGAATAACACCTGAGTCCTCAGGAATGGCAACGCATGGGGGTATCATGGGCGAAACAGTATACTCTGTTATGTCCATGGTACTGCTCATGTCTATAGGCGACGGTTACCACTTTCCATCAGGTGGGCCGTCAGCTTGTTTGCCATTCTAAGTTTTATAAAAAAAAAAAAAAAAAAAAAAAAAAAAAAAAAAAAAAAAAAAAAAAAAAAAAAAAAATAATTCCAAACCAAATCAGTAATCCTATTATCTTTAAATATTATAGAACGAAATCACTGTGCGCGTCCGTTTTTCCATTTATTTCTCTTAAAACACACATTTATTTAATAGATTTAATATTAATTTCACTATCAATTAGACTATTTTTTTTACAAAAGATATGTGTGTACTCTAATTTAATTTATGTATAAGTAAATAACTGTTCCTATTCAAAACTGGGGCTGCAAATTTTTGTATTTATGATACTAACTGATTTATTAATTAATATTATAAATTCAAAAATTTTAAAATAATTATTGGATTATTAGAAATCTGTAACTCGACCACGTTTTTATAGTTGAATACAAAAAAATAATAAAATATATAAATATAAATGATAATAAAATAAAAACGCTAACAACTAAAGTAATCTCTACTTATATCTTGATAAAAAAATATATATATTTTTCATTAAAAAGATCTCTAAAAGAATTTAGCTTTAGAAGCTTCAGCATTAACGAAATATAAAAACAGCCGAATTAAAGTCGACTGAATAAAAAAATAACGTAAAAGTTTAGTGTAAAGGTTATTTTATACTCACATATCATACATTAGGTAGTAATATATTATTAAACCAGTTTCATATTAAATATCAACTTGCCAACGAAATTTCAATGTTCATTTTACTTATCAGTAATACCTACGATTCTATTTCTGACTGAGTGCTTATGAATTTATACATTTCACGTATTCATTGTTAAACATAAGCCTCTCTTATGAACATGATCATTAAAATTGTATATATTATTCGTTTGTAAATATAAAAAATATTATCATATATTAATTATACCAATTATATGAAAAAGATCATTTAACGTTTGATGGTCAAACTCTAAGCTATTGTCATCGTTAACAATCGTTGCCTATTATTATTGTCATCCTAAAAACAGTAACTAACTTAATGGCTAGAAAATTCAAATAGTGAACTACAAAAACTAACTATTCTTTACCAATCGAGAAAAATGAGGCAAGAGAAATTTCATTTCCGAGAATAAATTCAAGATACTGATATTACTTAATAACACCTGAGTCTTTAGGAATGGCAACGCAAGGGTGCATCATGGGCGGAACAGTATTCTTTGTCATATCTATAGGCGACGGTTACCACTTTCCATAAGGTGTGCCGTCAGTTTGTTTGCCATTCTAAGTTGTATAAAAATCGAATTTGATATAAGAATAATGATTAAGTACTATGCTAATTCAATATTCTTTTTATAAATTGAGGCCTAGGCAGAGTTGTACTTACAATTAGAAATTGCCAGAAATTTTCAGATCGACTTAAAGGACCTAATATAATTTAGTACAATCCTACTTTTAGTGAGATGTAATGTATGTTAAGTTTTATTGAAATCCGGGATAGATTTCAATAAAATCTAGCAAGTACTTTAACTTTCTAACAGTCTTTATAATTTGATGCACGAGCTGACTTTTACTGGTAAGCTGATTAGTACATGCCTACATTGCCAGAAAAGCTTAGTTCGTGCAAAAGTCATGATACAAATTAGCACAATAGCACCAAGAAATGGAGAACGTAATAAAAGCAAAGTCCCTGTCCTGTACACGTCCAAAATGTGGAGCGACGTAATAAAAATGTACGGACGGACTGAGTTTGACGTTCAATGATGTAGGCACATTTTTTTCTCGCCGAGTTGATGTTCGGCGCTATGTTGTGGCCCTATTCGCTCTAATGGCTCTCATCTGGGTAAAAGCAGCGCGACTGGCCCATTAATCCTTTATTGTTCTTACAACCACGCACGACACTTTGCCACCGTATCGAGACATTCACATAACATTGCCCTAATTTATTTATTTACCTATTTATTCATAACGCTTAGTGGCATCCTCTTCTAGTTAATTAGCTAAGTAGATAAAAGAGGTCGTAATTATATAGAGTGAAATGAATACCATTAGCATCTCCTTAAAGGAATGCTCTGTATAACTGAATAACTATGATATATTGATATAAAGAGGTAAGGTTTGTTTGTTTCTTTATTTTTAAAGGAAAAACTCAAAAACTATTTAACTGATCACTTATAGAGAGCAACATTTTTTTTATTTTTTTTTTTATTGGATGATAAGGGAGTGGTAACCCCGCCTGCGCTAATGGGATACGCTGGCGGGGCACCAGTGAAGGATGATCGATGAGGATGAAAACAGGCCAGTTAGCCCATCATGATGAATTCATCAGGAATTAATCATAATAGTTTCCAGGGGGAACCGCAAGAAGGTCGACCTGGTTGGATATATTGCTAGCAATGGGATTCTTAGTCTCCATTACTAACAATCCCTTTTCCCCCCAGAGCGCAACATTATCAGCAAGTAACATAGGCTATTTATTATTAAAAAAAACACTAGAGATCCTTACGAAAATTACATTAATGCAATCCAAAGTATTAGAAATTTGCTTATTAAACTAACATAAAATACTAATATATCTTTCTGTCTATATTTAT